TCACAATGTATAATTGTGATGTCATAGTGATGTATAGTGATGTCAAAATGGATAATTGTGATGTCATAGTGCTGTATAGTGATGTCAAAATGGATAATTGTGATGTCATAGTGCAGTATAATGACGTCACAATGTGTACTTATTACAGAGCTGTTTAGTGATGTCACAATGTATAATTGAGATGTCACAGTGCACAATAGTGATGTCTCCATGTGTAATTGTAATATCATAGTACAGTATAGTGATGTCACAATGTGTAATTGTGACAGCATTATAGTGATGTCACAATGCATAATTGTGATGTCACAGTGCTCAATACATATGTCTCCATGTGTAATTGTGATATCATAGTGCAGTATAGTGATGTCACAATGTGTAATTGTGACAGAGCTGTTTAGTGATATCACAATGTATAATTGTGATGTCACAGTGCTGATAAGTGATGTCACAATGTATAATAATGATGTGACAGTGTAGTATAATGATGTCACAATGTATAATTGTGATGTCACACTGGACAATAGTGATGTCTCAATGTGTAATTGTGATATCATAGTGCAGTATAGTGATGTCACAATGTGTAATTGTGACAGAGCAATATAGTGATGTCACAATGTATAATTGTGATGTCACACTGGACAATAGTGATGTCTCAATGTGTAATTGTGATATCATAGTGCAGTATAGTGATGTCACAATGTGTAATTGTGACAGAGCAGTATAGTGATGTCACAATGTATATTTGAGATGTGATAGTGCATAGTCATGTCACAATGTCTATATTGTCACAGTGCAGTATAGTGATGTCACAATGTAAACTTCTGATGTCACAGGGCAGTATAGTGATGTCCCAATGTATAATTGTGATGTCACTTGGCAGTATAGTGATATCATAATGCATAATTGTGATGTCACAGTGCAGAATAGTGATGTCACAATGAATATTTGTGATGTAACAGTGCAGTATAGTGAAGTCACAATGTAAACTTCTGATGTTACAAGGCAGTATACTGATGTCACAATGTATAATTGTGATGTCACAGTGGAGAATAGTGATGTCAAAATGTGTAATTGTTACAGATCAGTATAGTGATGTCACAATGTATATTTGGGATGTGATAGTGCAGTATAGTCATGTCACAATGTCTAACTGTAATGTCGGAGTACAGTATAGTGATGTCACAATGTATAATTCTGTTGTCACAGGGCAGTATAGGTATGTCACAATGTATAATTGTTACAGAACAGTATAGTGATGTCACAATGTATAACTATGATGTGACAGTGTAGTATAATGATGTCACAATGTATAATTGTGATGTCAACAGTGTAGTATAATGATGTCACAATGTATAATTGTGATGTCATAGTGCAGTATAGTGTTGTCACAATGTGTAATTATGACACAGCAATATAGTGATGTCACAATGTATAATTGTGATGTCACAGTGCAGAATAGTGGTGTCACAATGTATAAGTATGATGTGACAGTGTAGTATAATGATGTCACAATTAATATTTGTGATGTCACAGCGCAGTATAGTGATGTCACAATGTATAATTGTGATGTCATAATGCAGTATAGTGATGTCAAAAGGTGTAATTGTTACAGACAAGTATAGTGATGTCACAATGTATAATTGTGATGTCACAGTGCAAAACAGTGGTGTCACAGCGTATAATTGTGATGTCATAGTGAAGTATAGTGATGTCACAATGTGTAATTGTGACAGAGCAATATAGTGATGTCACAATGTATAATTGTGATGTCACACTGGACAATAGTGATGTCTCAATGTGTAATTGTGATATCATAGCGCAGTATAGTGATGTCACAATGTGTAATTGTGACAGAGCATTATAGTGATGTCACAATGTATATTTGAGATGTAATAGTGCAGTATAGTCATGTCACAATGTCTAATTATAATGTCACAGTGCAGTATAGTGATGTCACAATGTAAACTTCTGATGTCACAAGGCAGTATAGTGATGTCACAATGTATAATTGTGATGTCATAGTGCAGTATAATGACGTCACAATATGTACTTATTACAGAGCTGTTTAGTGATATCACAATGCATAATTGTGATGTCATAGTGCACAATACATATGTCTCCATGTGTAATTGTGATATCATAGTGCAGTATAGTGATGTCACAATGTATAATTGTGATGTCACAGTGCACAATACATATGTCTCAATGTGTATTTGTGATATCATAGTGCAGTATAGTGATGTCACAATGTATAATTGTGATGTCACAGTGGACAATAGTGATGTCTCAATGTGTAATTGTGATATCATAGTGCAGTATTGTGATGTCACAATGTGTAATTGTGACAGAGCATTATAGTGATGTCACAATGTATATTTGAGATGTGATAGTGCAGTATAGTCAAGTCACAATGTCTAATTATAATGTCACAGTGCAGTATAGTGATGTCACAATGTAAACTTCTGATGTCACAGGGCAGTATAGTGATGTCACAATGTATAATTGTGATGTCACAGTGCAGTATAGTGATGCCACAATGTATAATTGTGATGTCACAGTGCACTACAGTGATGTCATAATGTAAAATTGTGATGGTACAGTGCAGAATAGTGATGTTACAATGTATAATTGTTACAGAGCAGTATAGTGATGTCACAATGGATATTTGAGATGTGATAGTGCAGTATAATCATGTCACAATGTCTAATTGTTATGTCACAGTGCAGTATAGTGATGTCACAATGTAAACTTCTGATGTCACATTGCACATTAGTGATGTCACAATGTATAACTATGATGTGACAGTGTAGTATAATGATGTCACTGCACATTAGTGATGTCACAATGTATAACTATGATGTGACAGTGTAGTATAATGATGTCACAATGTATAATTGTGATGTCATAGTGCATTATAGTGATGTCACAATATGTAATTGTGATGTCACAGTGCAGTATAGTGATGTTACATTGTATAATTGTTACAGAGCAGTATAGTGATGTCACAATGTACAATTGTGATGTCACAGTGCAGTATGGTGATGTCACAATGAATATTTGTGATGTCACAGTGCAGTATAGTGATGCCACTATGTAAAATTGTGATATCATAGTGCAGTATAGTGATGTCACAATGCATAATTGTTACAGAGCAGTATAGTGAAGTCACAATGCACAATTGTTATGTCATAGTGCATTATAGTAATGTCACAATATGTAATTGGGATGTCACAGTGCAGTATAGTGATGTTACATTGTATAATTGTTATGTCACAGTGCAGTATAGTGATGTTACATTATATAATTGTGATGTGACAGTGCAGTATAGTGACGTCACAATGTATAATTGTTACAGAGCAGTATAGTGATGTCACAATGTATAATTGTGATGTGACAGTGTAGTATAGTGATGTCACAATGTATAATTGTGATGTCATAGTTCAGTATAGTGATGTCACAATGTGTAATTGTTACAGAGCAGTATAGTGATGTAACAATGTATTATTATGATGTCGTACTGCAGTATAGTGATGTTACAATGTATAATTTTGATGTCACAGTGCAGTATAGTGAAGTCACAATATATAATTGTGATGTCACAGTGCAGTATAGTGATGTCACAATGAATATTTGTGATGTCACAGTGCAGTATAGTGATGCCACAATGTAAATTTGTGATATCATAGTGCAGTATAGTGATGTCACAATGCATAATTGTTACAGAGCAGTATAGTGAAGTCACAATGTATAATTGGGATGTCACAGTGTAGTATAGTGATGTCACAATGTGTAATTGTTACAGAGCAGTATAGTGATGCCACAATGTACAATTGTGATGTCATAGTGCATTATAGTGATGTCACAATGTGTAATTGTGATGTCGTAGTGTAGTATATTGATGTCACAATGTAAAATTGTGATATTATAGTGCAGTATAGTTATGTCACAGTATATCAATGTGATATTTGAAGCTTTTTAATGTACCTTACAATATTTGATGGCAAATTCTCCAATGCAATCTTGTGATAGCACAGTCAAGCAATATGACTTCATTTAGGGGCACTGTGATCTCATAGTGGAGTTTATGACATTATAGTGTAGGTCTGATGGCACAATGTATCCCTGTATTGTCTCAGTGAAACATCTGGTAATGCAATAGAGCATTATCTTGTCATAGTCCAGAATTGTGGCACAGTACAATATTATGACAGCACTGGGGAGCGTTGTGACATCACAGGCAGCATCAAGATTGCAGGATGGAGAATTGTTATGTTACCATGAAGCACTGTCTTGGCGCAAGTCAGCGTTTTGGGGTAATGGTGCTGCACCATGATGCCACATTGAGCTCTTTTATGTCACAGTGGAGCTGTGCTATAGCGCAATGGAGTCTTGTACAGCTCAGTGGAGCAATACGAGGGCCACATGGGAAACTGATCTGCCGCTGTCTATCTGTATGTTTGAAAATCTTTGTAGTAAATCGATAGATATTGAGATAGATAAATAAAAACTGTTTACTCTTTAAACAAATTAGGGAGCTCATCAATATAACTAGTGTAGCCACCTGATTTTCTTAGTAGCTCTCAAGCTCCTTCAAGGAGTATACCCGTCTCCCAGATTCTCTCCGTTGGCCCCAGACTGAAGGAGCTTTACTCCAGGGTTACACCCAGCTTCTGCTGTAGTCCAGCTAGAGGCTTTGTCCAACAAGCACCAGTTTTCAGAACTTACCTTGACTCAGCTGAATACTCGACTTTAGGGTTTGCAGCCCATATCTGATGGCATTTCATGAGCCACGAGGAACTTTGTCTAACGCAAGCTCCATTTCTTCACATACTGTCCTGCCCAGTTCCTGGACAAAGATGGGGAATGTGAAGCGATGGGAGGATCTTGCTATTGCAAGCTTCTGGAAGACCGCTGCCTGGATGTGACCCACAGGATCCCCTGCCAAATGCTCCCCCCGTTTAGCAGCCGGCACTCACTCTGTTGGCACCTCTTCTTTTCAGGACGATATCAGCAAGCAAAGCACCTGTGTGAAGATGGTACTCTCTCCGAGTGGGGACTACGCTGCCTTCCTCCTCCAAGGCAAGCTCACCCTAAAGCTGTGAGGGAGGTTCTGATTTGTGTCTCTTCCAGACTTTCCCTGTGGACCCTTAGATTTAGGTCGTGTGCAGGGAGGCACACACCTGTTATCCTAGCACCAGGGCAGCTCAGGTAGAAGGATCAGGACTGTATGGCTACATAGGAGACTCTGTCTCAGAAACCAAAAACAACAAAAGAAACACTTTCAATTTAAAAAAATAGCAAGGACTAGAGAGGTAGATCATCAGTCAAGAGCGCTGGCTGCTCTTCCAGAGGGGCAGGGTTTGATTCCCAGCATCCCCATGACAACTCAACCATATGTAACTCCAGTTTCAGGACACCTGACACCCTCTCCTGGGCACAGGAATACAGACATACCTGAGGCAAAACATTCATACACAGAAAGTAAATAAAGTATTAAAAACCACAAAAAACAGAAGAGTAGCAAAGCCAGTACATAGTTCCTCTGAATTCTTTTCTAATGCCTGCATTTACCCTATGGGGTGGGTGCGGAAACAGATTCAGTAACAGGGGTACTTAGTAGCCCCTGCTGACCGGTTTTCCCATCTTTTTTTTCTTGCTAATTTCTCTCTCTCTCTCTCTCTCTCTCTCTCTCTCTCTCTCTCTCTCTCTCTCTCTCTCTCTCTCTCTTTTGGTTTTACGAGACAGGGTTTCTCTGCATTGTTTTGGAGGCTGTCGGTCCAGCCCCGCCTCGAACTCACAGAGATCCACCTGCCTCTGTCTCCCGAGTGCTGGGATTACAGGCGTGCGCCACCACCGCCCGGCTTTTCTCTCCTTCTTTAGGAAGGATACAATATCACAGTGAGTCATATGTCACCTAGTGTACTACTGGGACAGCTTCTTGGTCACTGTGTAGTTTCCATTATCTTGACATTTTTCAGGAGAATCAACCAGGTAGCTGGTTGACATCCTTAACTACAGTGTGTGTCTGATTTTTTTCTCATGACTCTGCCTAGGCTGAGTATGTAGGGGGAAGCCACCACAGGACGGTACTGTCTTAGGCACTGTATGGTCTCACATTGACTCACTTTTGCTGGTAATTGCCTAGATCACAGGTTCCTGAAGGCTGGCTCCTAAATCCTGCATGCAAGCAATCCTCCTGCCTCAACCCCTAGAGTAGTTTCACTCCAGGTCTACACTACCATGCCTAGCTTACACTTTTCCCTTTCATCCTCTGTAAGGAGCAAGTCACTTATTGCAGACGACACTCAAAGGAGGGTGATTTAGGTGTCTCCCAGAGGCAGGAGAATCAGACCATTTGGACGTATGTTAACAATCACTATTGTGCCGGGTGTTGGTGGCACACACCTTTAATCCCAGCACTCAGGAGGCAGAGGCAGGAGAGTTTCTGTGAGTTTGAGCCTGGTCTACAGAGTGAGTTCCAGGATAACCTCCAAAGCAATACAGAGAAACCCTGTCTCGAAAAACAAAACAACAACAACCAATCATTATTGTAATTATTAGACGTTGGGGGAGCCCCTTTGAAAAGATACAGGTACCTTTTTTATATTATTGTTTTCTTTCTTTTTAAAAATTCCTTCTCTCATTTATTACATTCTAACCAGTTTCCCTTCCTCACCATCTCCCCTCTCCCTCAGATCCAATCCTCTTCCATTTTCCTTCAGAAAGGGGAGGGCCTCCCAGGGATATGAACCAAACAAGAATATCAAGTTGCAATAAGGCTAGGCACATCCCCTCATAGTAAGGCTAGATGAGGCAGTCCAATAGGAGGGAAAGGGTCCCAAAAGCAGGCAAAAGAGTCAGAGACAGCCCCGTTCTCACTTTTAGGAGTCCCATCAAGCTACACAACCATAACATGCATGCAGAGGGTGTTAAGGTTGGTGGGTAAAACTTTTTATCTTGTTTTTCAAGACAGGGTTTCTCTGTGTAGCTTTGGCTGTCCTGGAATTCACTCTGCAGACCAGGCTGGCCTCAAACTCAGAGATCTGGAAGGTAAAACTTTAAGAATTAACATATCTGTGTTTTCTCAGATATCTTAATCCTCTTTAAAGTTTTATCCACCAATCTTAGCCCCTTATTCCATCTTGCCAGCTGCAGTTCAGCCTGTGTCAACAAAACATATTTTATTCAAATATTTGGTAGTTTGATTTTCAGCCTTTAAATATTTGAATATATTTTATATGAGTCTGCATTTATACTTTTTTCCCAAAGGGCCCTCAGAAGCTAAATGCTTAAGGAAGATAGATATTTTAGAGCAGTCAGTGAGTTTAGCTGCTGAGCCATCTCTCTGGTCCCACCACATCCTTTGATACAAAAAGCACTCTAAAATCTCTATCTTCCTCAAGCATTTAGTTCCAAGGACTCTACCACCCCCTTTTGACTTCTGCAGGTACCAGTCACATACATGATGTACAAACATACATACAGGCAAAGCACTCATGTATTCATGTTCTTGGGCTGTCATAGCAAAGTACCACAAAGTGGATAACATAGAATGATAGGCATTTATTCCCACATGGTTCTGAGAACCAGTAATGTGAAATTAAAGTGTCCAGATGACTATATTTGTAATGGAACATAGAGCTAGGATCCCAGTCCATGGGAAAGCAACCTTTCCCAACTGGCTCAGTATTCAGAACAGGAGCCCAGCCTGTTCTTGTGATGGGAGAACGTCCAACAGCCTCCCATAGATCATCCTCTCAAATGCTGGCCACAAGAACCCTTTCCAACTCTTCCTTTGCTCCCTGACTCTCTTGCTATGCTTACATGTGCCACCTTCCTTCCCTAGGAGGCAATGTCAACTCTAGGGTAGAATGTCAGTAGAACTGTTTGCAACACAGAAAACAGGGGACTTGGCATAGAAGACAGCTTGGTTAAAAACGCAATTGTGTCAGTGTTGTGAGAGATGCCCCTGATTCCATTAATAGCAGTGGCATAAGGGGTCGACTCTTGCTTGGTGAGTGAGGGCTTGGCATAACCTTTGCTTCAGTTTATGCAAACTCTCCTTCCATGGGTGCTTGCTGCAAAGGTTCTGGGTCTCCAGCCAGCACTTCTGAGAAAAGAGACATTCTTTAGCTGCAACTTGTCACCTGCTAGCAGTTACTTAATGCTTGCTTGTTTGGTTTCCCGATGCAGGAGCTGGGGATGTTTGGCTGGAAGTGTATAAGTTGCCCAAGGAGACTTGGCTAAAGGAAGTGGAGCACCCACAGTTTGGTCTAATTCAAAAGAAAAAAACCAAACAGCTGCAACTGGTAGGAAACATCTTTTTCAATCACCATTTTTCTCTCCTCCCTTAGCTCTGGCTGCCGTGGAACTCTCTCTGTAGACTAGGCTGGCCTAGAACTCAGAGATCCTGAGTGCTGGTATTAAAGGTGTCTGCCACCACTGAATGGCTATTCACTTGTTTTTTTTAATACACTGAGGATCAATCAGCATGTAACAGTGGTAGACCTTATACTGTAAATTATATTTGGAGTTACTTAAATGTAAACTGCTATCGTCATCACTGTGTTTCCCAAACTAGAGATAGTCTTTTTAGGACTCAACACAGACTGCTAGGCATAGTGACCCACGCCTTTAATCCCAGCACACTGGAGCAGAGGCAGGCAGATCTCTGTGAGTTCAAGACCAGTCTGATCTGCATAGTGAGTTCCAGGACTAACCCTGGCTATATAGTAAGACCCTGTCTCAGAAAAAAAGTAACACAACAATATACCCATGTGCAAGAACATCATCACATGGTGCTCTCTATATATATGTAAATTTTAGAACGAAAAGGAGGGCCCTGGAGATTGCTCGGTGGGTAAAGGAACACATTGGCAGACTGGACAGCTTGAGTTTGACCCCTGAGAGCCACATGGCAGGAGAGAACCACAGGTTGTCCCACAAACAGACCACGGCACACACAAGGCTCCCTCCCACAAATAACTAAAAGTAAAGTAATTATTAAATTAAATGATTGAAATTTAAATTGAACTGGTTAATTAAATATTAAATTTTAATTTATTGAAAATTAATTAAAATAAAATAAAAATAATTGAAATATAATAAAAATTAAAAGAACCTTTCATTTCAAGTTTCTCCAGTGTTGATTTTGTAGCAGTGTCCCGGCTGATCCACTAACCCCACACCCATGGTCATTAGGAATTTCATCTTTCTCCAGCCACAGTTTAAGGTCCTGAAGAACGGGCCTCATGTCCTGAAACCCCACAGGCTAGAGGACTACCCAGATGTTGGACCTCCATGTGTACTTCATGAACTCGCTTCTTTCTGTTGTTGCTGTTTGTTGTTTTGTTTAAAGACAGGATTTCCTCTGTGTAACATACTTGGCTGTCCTGGAATTCACTTTGTAGACTGGGCTGACCTTGAACTCCCAGAGATCTGCCTGCCTCTGTCTTCGAGAGCTGGGACTAAAGGTGTGGGTCACCACAGCCCTTCCCATTAATTTCACTTCTTAAAAGAGGAAATAGGTGCAGTGGAGAAAGAACATCTCTGAAGACAGCAGGGAATCGGAACACACATCAAACCTATTGTGAATTCATTCCAGTTTCTTTTTTCTTTCCTCAGAGTGTTCCTGACTCTGCTCTTCCAGAAAGTGTAGAAACGGTAAGCAACTTTAGATATTCAGAGGGACTTAAGTCACATTTGAAAGGGTCGTGCATGTAAGTGAAAAGTGCATCTAGCACACTGTCCTGCTGGGCCTGCTCCCAGCACCTCTGTGTCTTATCACAAGTCTTCGACCACTGAAGACAGCCTCGAACCGTGGGAGCTGAGATATCTGAAGCTAAGGGAGCTGGACTGTGGCCCCACCACTTTGTAAGCTCCTCCCAAGGCCATGGTGGGGCCCTGTGGGGCAGTTACATTGTCTTTGATTTTTATAAAACTTGCAAAAATGTTGTTAATTGCCATCACTTGAGGTTCTAATTTCCCTCTGCTGTAGTCTCCCTCATGTTGAGTGGTGTTAGAAGGGCTGTGGGTATTTTGGGTTCCTAACTTTATGGGTGTGTGTTTTTGAGGCAGGGTGTCCATGTAGCCCACGCTAGCCCCGAGCTAGAGTTTTTCACCACCTCCCAGTGCTGGGATTCCAGACACACACTGCCATGCCTGATTGTGTTCTTTCGCCTAAAGAGGACCCTGTGGAACCTGGATTTGCCCCTGCCGCTGTAACAATGTAGTCCACCAAGACAAGTGAACTGTGGAGTTCATTTTCATCTTGGACTGCTTTGGGAGATGGCGCAGACTGCCTGTTCTGGGGCACATGGAGCAGAGGACCCACAAACATCTGAAATGGGCCCCTTCCTAGAGCCCTTCCTCACACCACTGAAGCTACACTTTGTCTCAAGCTGCGTAAATAACAGCACTCTGGGCAAAGTTAGTTCACTTGGCCGACAGCATGGAGGCATATGCTCACACAGCACTTGGGAGACCCAGCTAGGAGGGTCATGAGTTCAGGGTCATCCTTGACTACAGAGCAAGTATGAGGCCACCCTACAGTACATGAAATTCTGTCTCAAAGAAAACACAATCTTTAAGACATAAGCAATGGTTGAGTCTCCTCCAGATAAAAGTGTTCAGGGTGGGGAGTTTAAAAAAAAAAAAGACAAGAGCCAGGCATGGTGGCGCACAACTTCAATCCCAACACTCAAGGAGCACAGGCAGGTGGATCTCTGAAAGTGAAGGTCAACCTAGTCTGCATAGTGAGTTCCAAGACAGATAGCAGACAACCAGAGTTACAAATAGGACCCTGCCTCAAATAGATAGATAGATAGGTAGATAAGGTAGATAGATAGATAGATAGATAGATAGATAGATAGATAGATAGATAGATAGATAAACAGTCTCCACCACTTACTGATTTTTTTATGTTGCATAGAATGAAGGTACAGAATTTGAAGGGACACTCTCAGAAAGAAAAGGGGTGGAGAGATGGTTCAGTGATCAAGAGCACTTGTTGGTCTTGCAGAGAGCCTGAGTTTGGTTCTCAGCACCACCTATGAGGAGACTCACAACTGTCTGTAGCTGCAGCTCCGGGAATTCCATGTCTGCTCTTGGCTTCTTTAGGCACCCACACTTACCTGCACACATCTCCACATGAACTCACGATTTCAAAAATTAATAACAGGGAGCGACTCTCCGGGTAAGGCATGCAGGCGCAGAATTCACACATCCACTGCACTGTCCCCTGTGAGTCCTCCACCAACCGTCCCTGTCCTGACAGTGCCTTCTTCTCCCCTCCCGTGCTGGCCCTGCTGCTCTTTACTGAGCTTTATTGTCTCTTCTGATGGCTGGCTGTTTAATGACTTTGAATCTTCTAGACTGACAACCACAGCTGTAAATCCTGACAGCCTTTTCTTTTTCTTGTTCTTGCTCTGTTCCATTTCCCAGAGTCCCTAACAAAAATGTTGAAGAGCAGCAGTAAATAGAATAGCCTTTATCAAATTGAGCATGTATCCCTCTAGCCTCAGCTTGCTAGGAAGAGTTTTGTTTTATTTAAATCAAGAATGGGGTCTGGGGCTGGAGAGATGGCTCAGAGGTTAAGAGCACTGGCTGCTCTTCCAGAGGTTCTGAGTTCAATTCCCAGCAACCACATGGTGGCTCACAACCATCAGTAATGAGATCTGGTGCCCTCTTCTGGAGTGCAGACATATATGGAGGCAAGATGTTGTCATAATAAATAAATAAATCTTTAAAAAAAAAATCCCAGCACTCAGGAGGCAGAGGCAGGCGGATCTCTGTGAGTTCGAGGCCAGCCTGGTCTACAGAGTGAGTTCCAGGACAGCCTCCAAAGCCACAGAGAAACCCTGTCTCGAAAAACCAAAAAAAAAAAAAAAAAAAAAAAAAGAATGGGGTCTGGAGAGATGGCTCAGTGGTTAAGAGCACTGACTGTTCTTCCAGAGGTCCTGAGTTCAATTCCTGACACCCACATGGTGGCTCACAACCACCCTAAGTGAGATCTGGTGCCCTTTGCTGGCATGCAGAGGATTGTATACATAATAAATAAATAAAATATTAAAAAAATAAATCAAGAATGGAATTGATTTTTATCAAAAATTTCCCCTCATTAAAAGAAATAAACGCTGTGTATATTTAAGGTACATAACAGATTTTTAAGAGGTTTTCATGAGCACATCTATCTCTGTACACGTATGTTTGTTGCTGCTTTATGACAAGACCAGCTACACATTGTCCAGTTCAGCACCTTCGCGCATACAGCATACAGCCCTGTTCAGTTACTGTTGCCTCAGGTGCATTAGTTTTTAGAGCGCCCCTCCCGCCCACCTGCTTCCTGTCCTGGTCACACTACCCCGTCTCCACCCCTGTGCCATGCAACAGCTGTTTTGTTTTCTGTCTCTGTATTTTGATTTTTTATTGAGGTTCTACACCGAGGTTGTAGTCTGTGTCCTGGGGGTCCCCCATAACTGAAGACTTGCTCGCTAGGCCGGTAGAGTTGGGAAATGCTGTAGAACCTTAGGGGAGGGTGCCTAGTGGGCGTGCTCGTGTTCTCCCTTGAATCCTCATAGGGAACGAGCCTGGCCCTTCCTCTGCTCTCTAATGCAAGGTACTCCTTAGCTTGTGTCTGCACGTGCTCCTGTCCTTGCTGAGCATGCGCTGAGACGATGTAGCCGAGACATGGCTGCTTGTATTAGTTAGTTCTTTGCTGCTGTGATAAACCTAAAAAGCACCTCGGGAAGGACAGAGTTTATTCCATCTGTGCGTCCCTGTCACAGTCCATCGTCAGGGGAAGCCAGGACAGAGCTCACGTCGGGGACCTGGCGGCAAAGACCGTGAGAAAAGCCGCCGAGTGGCTTGCTTCCCCCCCCCACCCACCCCCCGGCTCGTGGAGCCACCTCTTTATACTACCCAGAACCACCTGCCTAGGGGTGGCACCACCCACGGTGGCCTGGACCCTCTCATGTCATCAACCATGAGTGAAGACACCCTTGCACCCAGACAGTCAGATGGATGCATTTTCTCAGCTGAAGGTGTCTCTTCCTGGATGATGCTAGTTTGTGTCAAATTTACAAAACAAACAAAGGTAAACGCCTAACCCGCACAGGCCGGCTACACAGCACACACACACACACACACACACACACACACACACACACACACACGCGCGCGCGCGCGCGCACGCAGACACGATAATCCTGGGTGCATGGGTATTTTCAAGTTTAAATATGAGATATGTTTTTGTGTGAATTTCTCTGGATAGTTTTCTGTTCAGCTTCTGGTGTCAGGATATGCTAGCCTTGTAAGGTAAGTTGTATATCTTTCTTCCCTCTTAGGTAAGAGTCGCAAGGTCTTACTTAGCAAAGAAATTTTACAATGTTTTCAACTTCTATGTTGTTCAGTCAATTATTTTTTAATGTTTTAAGTCAAATTTCAGTGATAATTCATTTTACTTAGGCATTCTATTTTGTAAAGATATGTGTGTGAAGCTGGGTGTAGTGAACACCTTAATCCCAGCACTCAGGAGGCAAAGGCAGGTGGATCGCTGAGTTCCATGCCACCCTGGTCTACATAGTAAATTCCAGGACAGCCAGAGTTACATAGAGAGACCCTGCCTCCAAACAGACACACACACACCAAAGATATGTGTGTGAATGTTTCTTTTGTGATGTTTTTTTCTTTTGCCTATTTCTCTTTCTTGATCATAACATTACTTATTTGTATTTTTTTCCAGAGCTTGAGACCCAGTCTAAGCCCTTATGCAATCCAGGTAACCACTCTCTCACTGAGCTAGCTCCCCAGCCCTACGCCTTTCTGCTTTAAGATCACCTTTTCACAGATCTAGCTTGCTGGTTTCAGTTTGCTAGTATTTTATCCAATATTTTGTAGTGTGACACCTTTCAAATCTTTTGAGATTTGTTTTATGCCCCAAATATGGTTTGCATTGTTAAATTCATTTGAAACGAAGGCAAATTCTGCTTGATTTAGTCAAATTATTCAGGTCCTGTGCATCCTTATTGCTTTTCTTCCTGTATCCATACTGTATTTTACTCACATTCCTGTATGCTTGATCCTGTTAGCCTTGGAAAGAGCAATCTCTAACACTGTATTTGCTCTCTCACTTCTGTGCATTTTTTGTGTGTTTTGAAAACCTGTTATTAGACGTATAACAATCTGGGAAGCCATGTTTCCTGATAAACTGACATTACTCATGTACTCTTTGGTCTTGATCGTAGTCTTGGTTCTGATTGGAATCTAAGTCAGATGTCAGTATTAGCCATCTCAGATTTCTTTTAATTATTTTGAGTTGATATATACCAGTTTTAATACTTTTATTTGTTTTTTTGAGATTTATTTATTTATTTTTATAAATATTTATTTATTATGCATATAGTATTCTGCATGCATGTATGTCTGCAGGCCAGCAGAGGGCACCAGATCTCATTATAGATGGTTGTGAGCCACCATGTGGTTGCTGGGCATTGAACTGAGGACCTTTGGAAGAGCAGCCAGTGCTCTTAACCTCTGAGCCATCTCTCCAGCCCTAATACTTTTATTTTTAACATGTTTATTTATATTTAAACCGAGAATTGAAGTATGGTTTTCTAGGGTTTCTCTCTCTCTCTCTCTCTGTAGCTAAAACTGATTTTTGACATGCTCTTTAGCCCAGGACAGCCTCAAACTCACAATCCTGCTGCCTCACCCTTCCAAGTGCTGGCTTAAATGAACCTTCTTGTTGACATCATGTAGTTGAAATTTGTCTTTTTATTAGGTGTGCATTTCTTAATTTTGTGCTTGCTGCATTATGCATATTCAGCAAATATTGGTGATAGCACAGGGATATAGGAATGAATGAATTCCACCTAGCAATCAGAACTGATGTATCTACCTTTTAAGTGTAGTATTTAGACCATTTACATTTAATGTTGTTATTGGCAAGTTTGAGTTTAAGTCTACCATCTTCCTATTCCATTTCTACTTGTTCTGTTCATTTTCTTCTTTTTCTTGACACCCTTAAGAATGGTTATTTTTAATGATTCCATATAATATCCTTTGTCAGCTTACTGCATATGCCTTTCCCTTATTTTAGGACTTAAACATTTCTTTGAAAACTGACATTAAATTGAGTCCTCCAGTTTATGTAATGAAGATTAAGCCCCCTAAGCCCATAGCAGGTAAGTAAGAGGTAGCACTTGTTTCTTTTGCTCTTGATTTCCTGTTGTTTCCTTACTAGCCCTATTCCACCTTCCTGTTTGCCTACTTACTAGCAGGAATATCTAATGAAATGCATAATTCTAAAGAGGAGTTTTTAAAATGTGAGGCTCTAGGACTAAAAACCAAAAGGAAGCACAAATATTACAAACTTCAGTTAGTAAAATTAGGATCAAAGAGAGACATCATTTATGTTTGCTAGGCAGAATTAATTCATCCCCATACTTCTGTGTAAGTCATTATCACGCTTTTACTTAGTGTCTGCAGCCAAGCATGGAGATAAGAAAGACATATCTCCTCCATTCTAGAAGCTGAAGGCCTACTAAGGGAGACTGGAAGGAAACCACAGTACGGTATTTTAAGTACAGTAATTGGAAACATTTAGGACCATGAAAACAGAGGAATGTCTAGTTCTGCCCAGATAAAGACTTTATCAAAGGAAGGGATATTGGAGCCAGGTTTAGAAGGTTAATTAAGAGTTGACCAAGAAGAGGAGAGAGCAGTTAGTCATTATAAGCAGAGAATATAGAGCATCTTGGCACTAACATGGTCTCAAAGACATACCAATAAAAATGCTACCCAAACCCATGAGCTACATAGCATTATTTGCAAGGGCAGCAGACTGGTTAGATAAAATCTAGTGTATTTATACAAAGGAACACTTTGCATCCATTAAAAATCAGAAAGAAATGCAAAGGGCCAAGAATAACCATCAACTTAAAAATAATGTTAGCTGAGGCTGAAGATGTGGCTCGGCAGTTGTGAATATGTGTTGATCTCACAGAGGACCCAAGTTCAGTTCCTAGCCCCCATACACACCACGCACTCACACACACGTGGAATGGTATAGTGGACTGGGAATGTACTTAATGGCAGAGTGACTGCCTACTGTGCATTAGATCCTGGGTTTTATTCCTAGCTCTAGAAAGCAGAGGAGGGCAGATTTGGGAGAATGAGAAGGAGGTGAGCAGCAGAGCAGACGTCCTGTAAGAGAGGAATGAGGGGAAGCAACAGATCCTGCATAGGAACAGGGATCTTCAGCAATAGCAGGAGTCATGGTCATTGCCAGGTTGGGGCCTTGCTTTGTGAGAGAGACGGCAGCACAGAGAGCACACCATGGGCATTTCCTTGACCCTTCTTTTTGCAGAAAGTCTGGGATTCTGGGCTGGGGGTGTGGAGAGGGAGAAGAGCTGCCCTCTGCCTGGGCTCTCTGAGCCTGTGCATTGAGGGAGAGGATGGCCAGGGTTGGGTCCCTGGCTCACAGGCCCACTGTGAACCAAAAATGGGTTTCTGAGGTGAGGCTTCCGAAGGAAGGGAGGGGAGGAGACTAGCAAAGGGAAATGGGATTTCAGTGGGATCTCTTCGATCCAGGCACCACATTTAAAAGCCCCCTGGAGATTTTTTCAAAGGTAGAAGACTACTGTGGGCTAGGCTCCGGGCAGAATCACTTCATTAAGGATGCGCAGTGGGAGCAGCACATGGAGATCTTCTATTCCTCCTACAAGAAGTACCTGGAAAGGGAGTGGGAAGAGGAGCCACTCAGGTGAGCCTGAGGGAGGAGGCTGCTGGGCTGTGTGCTCGCTGGACCCAAGCAAGCATCTCTCTGGCATGAGGGAGAGCTGCAGATTCTTTTGTGCATGGGTTTTTGCCTGCACGTATGTCTGTGTACCATTTGCATGCAGAGCCCGAGATCAGAAGCGGGGCTCGCATCATCCCCGGGAACTGGAGTTGTAAGCAATCAAGTGGCTGCTAAGAACCAAACTGCTCTAGAAGAGCAACCAGCGCTCATAACCACCGAACAATCCCTCAGCCCCAGAAGACTGTAAAATGTTCTGTGGGCTTGCTTAAACACAGCCAGAATGAAGGCTGGGAACTAGAATTTTAAAGAAGGAATAGCTGTGTGGCTCAGTTGAACACTGTCTAATAAGCCCAAAGCCTGGATTCAAAGCCCAGATGAGGGGAAAGATGAGGACCATATACCAATGGAGATGAGACAGAGTTTACTTTAGATTCATGCATGACATCTTTCCTGTTTCTTCCTGGTTTTCAAAAAGGTAAATGCACACAGAGAAAAGGTAACAAAATAGAAAATGTTACCACCATTACGGGCATTTCCCTCCATTTCATCTGCTACTTTATAGCACTGGGATCTAACCCAGGGCCTGTGTGTGCCAGGCAGGACCCCTGTTGCTATGGTCACCCCAGGTTCTCCGTGCTCAACGTGTCTTTCTAAATGTGATGTCATACAGATCTATAGTTATTACAATACGTTAGCAGTAACATGTGCTAACACCTCAGTCAGCAGACAAGCCTTGTAGCCCACGTCTGACGGTGAGAACTGAGCATCTGAGTGTCTGAAGTAGCCATGGTTTAAGAACCATGCCTCCTAGCTGTGTTGGAACATTCTTATTTTCACATGAGAAGTGAGACCTCTCATCTTGCTGTTAAATGGACCTTGAATGTCCTCACATCAGGACATGGATTCTAAAGGCCGAGCCTTAATGGCAGGCGGCCCTTTATTGTGAACTGAGACCCTCGCCTGGCTTGGTGGTGCCCACTTAGTTCCTCCTGCCCAGCAAGATGTTTAGGGATCACATTAATTATCCCCTGTGAGAATCTGCAAGCATTCCAAATAAGGGCCAGTTTACACTTTGAGTTTTGTGACCCCCTGGTGAGAAAGCATTTATGGAATGTCACCCATGTCCGGCCTTTAAGGGATCTCTGAGGATAGAAGTGGCCCTCTAAAGAGGCGGGGGAGGGGCATGGGGAGCCTCCTTTGCCTAGGGCTCCATCCTGTACTCTGCTGGCCTATGAGTGACCCCTAACTCCACTAGCACTGTCTTCATCTGTGCCCAAGGTCTGTGTGGCCCCCCCAGCATGGGGCTGTCATGGGGCTCTGGGAGGCTCATCATCAGAAACTAAGCTATTTCTGGTCTGTTACATGTTGTGGCACATCTCTTCTTGCCAGGGTCTACATGGCTCTGACTCCTGTCTGTCTTTCCCAGTACGGCCACGTTCCACTTCTTTGCTAACTCCATATCCCCAACACCAGTGGATGTCAAGAGCTCTTCAGGTAAACAAAGGATGGCAGCGGCCATCTGGGCAAAGGCCCTGGAGATGGGCCACATGGCAGATCTTGCATGGTGGGAAAGAGTGAGGGTGGAAACAGCTGCCAGCTGTAGCTTGGCAGTGTCTGTTTGGATATGCATCCCTGAGTCCAGTTTCCCTAAGATGGAAGCCACAGGACTCGAGGGAGGGGCTGCCCTAGAAGGTCCTGCGCGTACACATCTGTCATGCTGCTTCTGGTTATAAACCCGTAACAGTCAGACCAAACTCTGGCATCCAAGTGGATATCTTTCTAGAAGTCGTGGATACAGCCAAAGGCCGTTGTAGCCTACCCTAGGAATGGCCTCCATGGAGGTACCAAACGGTTCTTCCTGGGCAGTCCACCTTCTGCCGAGTGGAACCTGCCGGAACAAATCACTGCAGGGTTGACAGGCAGTATGCTCGTCACACAAACCACAGGCCACCTGCTGTCTAACAAGGTCCTTTCTTCCCCCACCTCCAGGGGCAGCCTGTATCCTCGGCGTACACTGGACGGGAAGTCATAATTTCTTCCTCTATTCAATGAACAAAACCCTGAAGGATAAAACCGGTACTTTAGCTGCCAAGACTAAGGCAGTGCCTTGGCTCTGAGAAGCTGTGCTTCTCCAGCTGAGCTGTCATTGTGGCACGAGGGAACCAGAGCTGCGCAGGCAGGGATGGGAGCTCAGTGGGTGCCCAGGTCTGTCCCTGGCTTGTTCCTTGTCAGAGTCCAGTGCCCGGAGCCCCACAGAGTGCAATGTGAAAGGAGAATGGGCTGGCATCAGCAGGCCGGGGCTTGCAGCCCAGTGTGGGAGAGAGGTGCAGGGTCAGGCCGGTTGCTTCATGTCCTGTTTTCTTTCCTCTGAGACACTAAGAAGTCATTAGACATCACTGTCTGCCGAGTGTTGTAATTTCAAAAGTGGCTCAAGAGAGAAAGACAACATGCAACACAGTTCAAGCGGAGGGTTTTTTTTTTTAATTAAGGGAAAGGATTGTAAAAAGGAAAAGAGGAGGAGGAGGCTGGCCTCCAGGGGGAGAGAGGGGGGTGGGTGGGAGGTGGTCAGGGCCCTTTTAAAAGGGAATGTAGTGAATGTGCACAGGTGGTGGTCTTAGTGGCAGCAGCTGAGGGCGAAACCTGTCAGAACTCCAAAAGCAAGCCAGTACAAATGCCTAATTACTAACACTGAGTACACTGGCTATAAATAGCAAAATCCAGAGGGTTTGATATAGGAAAACCCTCTGAAGTTGCAGCACAGGAAGTGATTGTTGCCGAACACATCCATGAACACAGCCTGTGTGCAGTCCACTCAGGGTAAGGCCTTGAGTGGTACTGTGCTTTATTTTCATGCTGTGCTGTGGAAGTCAGGTTAAGTCTGCATGCAGAAGAACTTGCTTCCTCTGCCCTCTCCCAGGCAACCTGGCTTCTAATCCTACACACACACACACACACACACACACACACACACACACACACCTACTGAAATGCTACCTGTAACCAGTAACAAGCCTAACCGTGTGCTGAGAGTGCCGGCAAACAGCCACCAAACGCTTGCTGTGACTTATTTGACTCTGGGGAAGAAGCACAGCAGAGAGAGGTGGAGAGTCTAGACCAGGGGCTCCCGGTGCTCAGACCCCGGGTTAGGCAGACCAGTCTGGGCCTGTTCCCCGGGTAGAGGCTCTGGCAGGGCAGGGCCTGGCAAACGGTCTCTTCCCTCTAGACTGTGAGAACGTGTGGCCCTGTGCTGCGCCCATTGCCGTGTCTCAGATCAGCAGCAACTCCTCTTACCTGGTCCTCGCCTGTGAGGATGGTGTGCTCATCCTCTGGGACCTGGCCCAAGGTGAGTTCCCCATCTCACCCCTCGACTGAGCACCCGATGGTCTCCTCAGGGGGGCTCCAGGAGTGACTTTACATTCACAGTCCTCTCGGGACAGCTGGGCCTGCTTTCCCCTCTTCACTCCTGGAACAACTACTGAGCTTTTTGCCCGTGTGCTCCTTGAGAGCTTGCCCTGTGCCCTGCGGTGCACCAGGTCCTAAGAGCACAGTCATCACTTTCCTTGCTACTGCAGGGAAGATGTGTCTCCCAGCACAGCCTGAGAGGCTCTGCAGCCCCCGCCCCTGCTCTCAGAGAGAGCGCGTCGTCTTCCATGATGTTCTGCGCTGATGCCAATCAGCAGGCACTCTGCTAGTATTAGAGCGGAGGGACCTAGAAAGTGATCAAAGCAAGACCAGCAGCGGTTCTGGTGGCTAGCACCATGGTGAGGACCCGGGTTCCTGGTCCAGCTCTGCAGATGCAGACATGGTGACATCTGAAAGGGTCCATCAGCCAGGCTTCATTAGGGATCGTGAATCAACAGTGATGCACAGCCCTTAGCCAACAGCTTGTTTTCTTTTCAAGAGCAGGATATTAGTAGATTCTTGTTTGGCTGCACACACACGCAGTGTCTATAGCCACGTCTTCCATACGCTCTGCGTCATCCCATGGGCAGCTGTAGGTCAGCTGGGCTGTAGATACCTCCATTCCATTGCTGTCTCTTCCCCTTCCTCCTCAGCCTTGGTCCCCGTCCCCCAGCTCCACTCTGGGCACAAGACCCCCCTCGATGGGCATGGGTGTTCCCCTTGCAGAGGCTGCACATTGCTTGACTTGGTCCTCACCCCACACACGTCCCTGGCACACTTCCTGGTCACAGAGCTAGAACCCGTGGCTGCAACCTCATATTTTCTGATCAGCTAGAGTCATTTTTTCTCCCCAGGATTCCTCTTTGGGGTCATCGCTCTGCCCGAGGGCTGTTTCTGCCAAAGCATTCACTTCCTAAGGTTCTTCCTGGTGCACGAAGGACGGAACATGTATCCTGAAGGCCGGGTGAAGTCTGAAATGATGTGTGTGGTGCTGTGCACTAATGCTTCCCTCCACCTGGTGACAGCCAGCGGGACCAGGGGACCCACCAGCAAGGTGCTTGTTGAGAGGTCAGTGGCTTAGAGACAGGTCAAGGTGACAATCTTCCAGACAGATGCTGCTGCTCCATGTGAAAGACTGACAGCCTCTGTCTAGAGTCCACTACCATAGCCACCAGCCTCCTGGCCTGAGCACAGTGCCATGTGGGTACGCACAGCTGTCTAGAAAAACTGTCCCTTTTCTATGCCATATGACCACAGAGAGCCTCAGTTCCCTCAAAATAGCTTTCACCAGCGTCTCCAGAGATCTTTAAGGGAAAAAACTTTTTAGATAAGACCAGGCATGGTGGTGCATACCTTTCATCTTAGTGCCCAGGGAGCAAAGGAGCTCGGGTGTCCCAGGGCTGCATTGTAAGTCCGTGTCTCCAAAATGTTTTTGTTTTAATGTTATATGCATGCAAGTGAATCCCTACAGTCTCAGTCTCTCTCTCTCTCTCTCTCTCTCTCTCTCTCTCTCTCTCTCTCTCTCTCTCTCTCTCTCTGTGTGTGTGTCTGTGTGTGTCTCTGTGTGTGTGTGTGTGTGTGTGTGTGTGTGTGTGTGCAAGGATGATGAGATAAGAAGTTCCCCATTCCTCGCAGAAACCAGTCATCACCATTCCCTAAGGGATTGATAGGTCCTCCTTCTTTCTCCTCAATGGTTGCTAGGTATCAACTGCCACACACCAAACATGCCCCAGGATGACTGACTGCCAAAAGCATCCCCCCACGGCCGTAGTGAGCAGAGCAGGCCTCCGCTGGCCTGACCTAGCTTACACTGGTGGCTCGTCCGGGGCTATGGCCTAGGCTAGTTTGTCTCCCACTCCTGGGAGCCAGCAGGCTGTTGACCAGGGTGCAGTGGTTCCCTTCCTCCTGCTCTCTCCTGCTGGCTGCCAGGGGCTTCCTCACATGATGCCCTAGGCATAGCCATCAGTAAGAGAGGGCATCAGCAAAGCACAAACGCTCCTCAAACTTCTGGATTTTGTGACATCTGCTGAGATCTGACTGGAGAAGCAAGTGCCCTGGCCACGACCAAATCCAAGCAGTGGAAGAATTTTTGTTTTGTTAGTTTTTTTTTTTAATTTACTTTTATCAGGCTGGAGAGATGGCTCAGTGGTTAAGAGCACTAACTGCTCTTCCAGAGGTCCTGAGTTCAATTCCCACCAACCACATGGTGGCTCACAGCCATCTGTAATGACAGCTGGTGCCCTCTAAACACTGTATATATAAGAAATAAATAAACCTTTAAAATGTGCTTTTGTCTAATGCAGGAGTGCTTGGCTGCATGCTTGTTTGTGCACAATGTGCAGGCAGCACCTGCAGAGGACAGCAAAGGGCAGCGGATGCCCCGGGGCTGGGGCGACACTCTGCTGTTAGCTGCACATGGGGTAGAGAACACGACCCAATCCTCTAGAAGAGCAAGAGCTTTAACCACTGGCCCGTCTCTGCAGCCCCAGGTCTTCTTGTTGTTGTTTTTATTGTGTATACAGTCTTCTCCCTGCATGCCAGCAGAGGGCACCAGATTTCATTGAACTCAGGACCTCTGGAACAACAGTCAGTGCTCTTAACCTCTGAGCCTTCTCTCCAGCCCTGCAGTCCCAGTTTTTATGAGAGCTGCTGCTGAATATTAGTGGGGGTTTTTCAGTTTCAACATTGTTTTCCTATTCTTTTTTCTTTTTTTTTTTTTGAGACAGGGTTTCTTGTCGTTTCTTTTATTTAAGAATTTACCACCTAAGTATGATTCTGCCTCTAAATAGTGTGTTTGTTAAGTTGTATGTATTTAAGAAACTTATGACTGGAACCATACTCTATGAACCTCCAATTTGCTTTCCATTTATGCTGTGTACTCTGACTTGCTTTGTAACATTGACCGTGAGAGCTGTTGACACATGTACCTCCAGTTCAGCCTCCATTGTTCGTTCTATTCTGCTGCTGGTGAGGATCTACACTGTTGCTACCTTTGCTACTATGAATGGTCTCTTCACATATTTATTGGTCCACGTCAATAGTTTCTCTAGGGGCTGGAGAGATGCCTTGGTGTTTAAGAGCACTGACTGCTCTTCCAGAGGTCCTGAGTTCGTTTCCCAGCAACCACATGGTAGCTCACAACCATCTGTAATAGGATCCGATGCCTCTTCTGGCCTGCAGGCATACATGCAGAGCACTCACACACAACATGGAAATAAATAAAATCCCAAAAGGAAACTTAAAAAGACAGTTTCTCTTGGATAAATACCTAGGAGAAGATAATAAAAGTCTGAAGTCTTTACAGAAGGAGAACGCCCCTTTTTGTGCTCCATAGGTCTACAAAGCACCTGGAAGAAGCCATCTGTGTAGTGGCCCCAGCCCCAGCCTTGCCTGGCATGGTAGGTTCTCAGGCTCCTGGTCCTCTTCTGAGAGTGTTCACCATCCCTTCCAGAAAGAGTTGTTGACAGCCTACTGCGTGCCGGACATTGGATTTGCTTTGGGGTATATGATATGAAAGAGAAACCCCAACGCTGGGTAGGGTTAGTGCTGAGCAGTAGAGTATGTTAGCACTGGATTCAATCCCAAGCACCACATAAACACTAACACACCAAAGAGGAAGCCCTTGCCCTGATGGCACTCACACTTCACCAGGACACAAATCACCAAACAGCTGCCTCGGGAACACAAGAAAGACGGACATAATGTGACAGCAGGGATCACCTAATGCAGAGGGGAGGGTAGTGCGACAGGAGGAGACAGCAGACCAGACAGGTACTAGCCAAGTTCAGGTATGCAGGTATGAAGAGGGGAAACAGTGGGTGTGGGGCAGAGGGACCAGCCTCTGTATGCTGGTGGAGGGTGCAGACATACCCGTCCCTGAGACCGGCAGCATGGAGCGGTGGGAACCGGGCCAGAACCCACGTGCTGGCCTGCCTCTGGACACAGCTGAAGGACAAAAGGGCACCGTGGCTGGTCCTGCCACATTCTGCAGACTCCCTAATCCTTTCAGGGCCAGTGATTGGGTCACACTAGCAAGAAAGCCTGTGATTTCTGGCATGGCTTGGCAGAGGATGAGGCCCTACAGGGCCGGAGGAGGCTCTCCGAGTTCAGGAGTCTACAAATGTCTGCTCTGTGCCCAGCAGTCAGTGATCACTATCAAAGATAATGTCCTGTTGGCTCCCATAGTCCCCAGGAGATGAGTTGCTAAGTGACAGAGAGGAACCCCAAGGGCATGCAGGAACCGCCCTGGAAGTGCAGGCCAGCAATGAGGGGTTGAAAGACAGGGAACCAGACTTTCCCGAGTGACAATGAGCGTCTGAAGTGGGGCAGATGCCAGGAGGGTAGGAAGAGGGGTCTTGGAGCAGGGTCCCCAAATGGCCTCCACTCCCCCCCCCCGCCTTTCTGTGAGAGCCAAGTCCCAGAGTTCTTTCTCTTTCTTTCCAGGTGCTACTCTTTTCCAAGAACCACTCTGTGAGCCTCATGGATGTGGCCAAGGCTGAAATCGTCTGTGCCTTTGCAGCCCCGGTGCCCCACCCAGAAGAGACGCTCTGGAAGCCCTTGTTTGTCGTGTCTCCACACCATCCCTGTTTTCTGCTTCACGGTATGGCAGGGACTGTGAGGGCAGCTCCCGTGCTGGGGCCTGCTACACTCTGCCCTAGGCTTTCCTGACCCTCACAAAAGCTCCGCAGCCTTGCTCAGCTGCCTCCTCAGTTTCCCCGCCCCAGGCCAAAAGAGGCTCAGGCCTAGTAACCACAATGTTCTTTGATAAAATGTTGGCAAGGCCTTTGTTCAGCGTAATTAAGTAAATACCTCCAACTCAAGCCAGGTAAGCCGCCTCCACACACAGAGAACAGCATGAAGAACCACACCACGGAGACCCTAACCCCACAGAGAAAGCAATTACACCGAGCCGCGGTCTCTCTCCTTCCTCACAGGAGCGCGCCCAGAGGGTGATGCCACACCTACCGACGACGCCAAGGACACCCCAGATTCTGTTTTCTGTTTTAATTTTGAGGACTATCCCCTCCTGAAAGATATCTCCAAAAACTGCACCATTTCCCAAAAGGACTTGGAATGTAGCCAGGCCTTCCCTCAGGTGTTACCACTGGAGAAAAGATGTGAGCAATTTCTCCAGAAGAGGTAAGACCCCGCCCCGCTATGGGGTTGAGTCTGGTGAGGCCCCGCCCAGCTATGGGGTTGAGTCTGGTGAGGCCCCGCCCAGCTATGGGGGTTGAGTCTGGTGAGGCCCCGCCCAGCTATGGGGTTGAGTCTGGTGAGGCCCCGCCCTGCTATGGGGTTGAGTCTGGTGAGCCACCACTGAGAGTGGTTTGTGGTTAAGAGCCTTTCCATACTTAATCACTGCTAGGTTTTTTGTTTGTTTCCATGTGGGCCAACGTATCCTACTCTGTGAGCTCTAGGCCATAAGAGACCCTGCTCTTACAAAGAAGTAGCTGCTCTTCCAGAGGACCCAGGTTCTATTCTCATCACTTACATAATAACTCACAACCATCCTGGAACTGGAGTTCCAGAGATCTGACACTTTCTTCTGGCCTCCACCTGGTGCACAGACATGAAGACAGTGTAGAGCGGACAGTGTAGAGCGGACAGTGTAGAGCGGGCAGTGTAGAGCGGGCAGTGTAGAGTAGACAGTGTAGAGCAGACAGTGTAGAGCAGGCAGTGTAGAGCAGGCAGTGTAGAGTAGACAGTGTAGAGCAGGCAGTGTAGAGCAGAGAGTGTAGAGCAGGCAGTGTAGAGCAGGCAGTGTAGAGCACACAGTGTAGAGCGGACAGTGTAGAGCACACAGTGTAGAGCGGGCAGTGTAGAGCAGACAGTGTAGAGCAGGCAGTGTAGAGCAGACAGTGTAGAGCAGGCAGTGTAGAGTAGACAGTGTAGAGCACACAGTGTAGAGTAGACAGTGTAGAGCAGACAGTGTAGAGCAGACAGTGTAGAGCAGGCAGTGTAGAGCAGACAGTGTAGAGTAGACAGTGTAGAGCAGACAGTGTAGAGCAGAGAGTGTAGAGCACACAGTGTAGAGCAGACAGTGTAGAGCAGACAGTGTAGAGCAGGCAGTGTAGAGTAGAGAGTGTAGAGCAGGCAGTGTAGAGCAGAGAGTGTAGAGCAGGCAGTGTAGAGCAGGCAGTGTAGAGCACACAGTGTAGAGCGGACAGTGTAGAGCACACAGTGTAGAGCGGGCAGTGTAGAGCAGACAGTGTAGAGCAGGCAGTGTAGAGCAGACAGTGTAGAGCAGGCAGTGTAGAGTAGACAGTGTAGAGCACACAGTGTAGAGTAGACAGTGTAGAGCAGACAGTGTAGAGCAGACAGTGTAGAGCAGGCAGTGTAGAGCAGACAGTGTAGAGTAGACAGTGTAGAGCAGACAGTGTAGAGCAGAGAGTGTAGAGCACACAGTGTAGAGCAGACAGTGTAGAGCAGACAGTGTAGAGCAGGCAGTGTAGAGTAGAGAGTGTAGAGCAGGCAGTGTAGAGCAGAGAGTGTAGAGCAGGCAGTGTAGAGTAGACAGTGTAGAGCAGGCAGTGTAGAGCAGAGAGTGTAGAGCACACAGTGTAGAGCAGGCAGTGTAGAGCAGACAGTGTAGAGCAGAGAATGTAGAGCAGGCAGTGTAGAGTAGACAGTGTAGAGCACACAGTGTAGAGCGGACAGTGTAGAGCAGACAGTGTAGAGCGGGCAGTGTAGAGCAGACAGTGTAGAGCAGAGAATGTAGAGCAGGCAGTGTAGAGCAGACAGTGTAGAGTAGACAGTGTAGAGCAGGCAGTGTAGAGCAGGCAGTGTAGAGTAGACAGTGTAGAGCACACAGTGTAGAGCAGGCAGTGTAGAGCAGAGAATGTAGAGCAGGCAGTGTAGAGCAGGCAGTGTAGAGCAGACAGTGTAGAGCAGACAGTGTAGAGCAGACAGTGTAGAGTAGACAGTGTAGAGTAGACAGTGTAGAGCAGGCAGTGTAGAGTAGACAGTGTAGAGCAGAGAGTGTAGAGCAGGCAGTGTAGAGTAGACAGTGTAGAGCAGGCAGTGTAGAGCGGACAGTGTAGAGCAGACAGTGTAGAGCGGGCAGTGTAGAGCAGACAGTGTAGAGCAGGCAGTGTAGAGCAGGCAGTGTAGAGTAGACAGTGTAGAGCAGACAGTGTAGAGCACACAGTGTAGAGCAGACAGTGTAGAGCAGGCAGTGTAGAGCAGGCAGTGTAGAGCAGACAGTGTAGAGCAGGCAGTGTAGAGCAGAGAGTGTAGAGCAGACAGTGTAGAGCAGGCAGTGTAGAGCAGACAGTGTAGAGCACACAGTGTAGAGCAGAGAGTGTAGAGTAGACAGTGTAGAGCAGGCAGTGTAGAGTAGACAGTGTAGAGCAGAGAGTGTAGAGCAGAGAGTGTAGAGCGGGCAGTGTAGAGCAGACAGTGTAGAGCAGAGAGTGTAGAGCGGGCAGTGTAGAGCAGACAGTGTAGAGCAGAGAGTGTAGAGCGGGCAGTGTAGAGCGGACAGTGTAGAGCGGACAGTGTAGAGCAGACAGTGTAGAGCAGTGTAGAGCGGGCAGTGTAGAGCAGGCAGTGTAGAGCACACAGTGTAGAGCAGGCAGTGTAGAGTAGACAGTGTAGAGCAGGCAGTGTAGAGCAGACAGTGCCCATCAAGTCCATCAGAGCATGTCCCCTTTCTTCATTTAGACCTCTCCCCCAGGAAGTACAATGACCAAGTTATAGAGGCTGACAGACCTGGTCTGAATTCTGACTCTCGCCATTACTAGCTCTGAGACTTAGCTGGTTACCCTTTCAGAGCCTGTCTCCATGCTCTCCTGCCGCCTGCCAGGCCATGGTGTGGATGTTCTGATTAGGTCTGGCTTCTGGGGCTTGCAGGTGAGACAGGACATACAGAATGCCAGACAGGCTGTGCCTTAGTCACTGTTCTGCTTTGAAGAGACACCAAGACAGGGCAACTCTTATAAAGGAGAGCATTTAACTGGGGGCTTGCTTACAGTTTCAGAGGCTTAGTCCATTATCATCATGGGGAAGAAGATGGTGGGAAGGCATGGTTGGAGAAGTAGCTGAGAGCTACATCCTGATCTCGGGAGGGAGGGAGGGAAGGAGGGAGGGAGGGAGGGAGGGAGAGAGAGAGAGAGAGAGAGAGAGACAGAGAGACAGAGAGAGAGAGATTGGTGTGGACTTTTGAAACTTCAAATCCTATTCCCCAGTGACACTCTTCTTCCAACAAGGCCACACCTCCTAGTCTTTCTAGTCCTTTGAGACAGGATCACCACCTAGTGACTAAGCATTCATATAGAGGAGCCCACCGGGCCCCAGTCTCACTTAAACCACCACAGGTTGTTTCCTCCATAAATAGCAGGTATAATGTGCCAATCTGATAAAATCAGAATGCCTCAGGTCTGGAGAGATGAGTCAGAGATTAAGAGCTCTTGCTGCTCTTGCAAAAGACTGGAGTTTTATTCCCAACATTCACATGGTGGCTCACAACTGCCTGTAACCCCAGTTCCAGAGGCTGTGACATAATCTTCTGGTCTCTGAGAGTACTGCATGTAGTGCACACACATATATGCAGGCAAAACACTCATACACATAAATAAAATAAAATAAATCTAAAAGAATTTTTTAGAAACATCAGAGTGCCTGGGGAAATCCTGAATATGACCGACTACTAGGTGGCAGCACAGTCCCCTGCTTCCTCTCTCACAGGGCACTTTCTACACTTTCCTCTTCTAGAAAGGAAGAGAGGGTCTTTGCCTGCGATGCTAGTTACCACCCCCAAGCTGCGCTCCAGCCTCCTACCTGCTCTGCCTTTCCTACGGTGTGCTGAGCGGCTTCAGTGGTTCTCAGTGTCTCCTGGGAGGACGTGTGCCCCCTGATGAAGAAAGAAACGTGGTCTCGTAGTTCTTGGAAGAGGAAAGGGAGAGGGGGAGAGGGGGCTGTTTGTCAACAGCGCCTGGGTTAGAGGTTTGGCAGCCTTGCTCAGGAGCTCTCTCATTCTGGACCCTGGGGATCTGCTCTTTAGGTAAATGTAGGGAAAGGCTCATGATGTCTGCACTGTAATCCAAAGGACCCAGGAAAGCTTTTATAGAGAACGGTGAAGATGGTAATAGATGGGGAATCTGGGGAGATGTTTGCAAGGGAGCTAAAGCGAAGGATGGTGAGTTGGGTGAAGGTTCATTGTGCTATTTGCACCCTTCTAACAGGCTTGAGAGTTTTCCAAAGGGAAAGACGGAGAGAGGTGAGAAACGGTACCATCCTGGTTTTGAGTCAGGAAGATGGGGAACGTGCCTTTGAAGGAACACTAGTTACCGTGGGATGATGAGCATGGGTTTTCTTTGTTTCCGCTGTCTGTAACTTTTCTATAAAAATCCTGCATTGCTTTGGCAAGCAGACTGAAAACAACAGGGAAGGGAAGCCTCGCGTGTGAGAATAGGCCATGCTGTGGGGAGGAGCATGCCCAGGGCCGGGGCCTGGGGTTTGCTGGTGCTCCCAGGGCAGCTGGGTGCTCTGTGAATTAGCTCCCAGTTTAATGAGCTTGCTTCCTTCCTGTCTATTCTTAACCAATCTCCTCCCTTTGTTAATTAGAAAGGGTGACTTTTCCCACTTTACACAAAGGTCAGTAGACACCCTCCTGTGGAAATAGACCCAGAATCGCAGCTGCAATCTGAATAACTCACCTCCCTCTGGCCACGGACTGCCATTTTCCACCAAATGATCTTGTCACAGATATCTGCTGAGCCCAACTCCAGCCCACAAATGTTGCTTCTGGAATAGAACTACCAATTAATACAGTCAATTCCCACTGTTATAAGAATGAACTCAGAAGCCAGGCGTGGTGACTCAGGCCTGGAACCTCAGCACTTGGAGGGCTGAAGCAGAAAGATGGGAACCTGAGGCCATCTGGCTACTTAGAGAAACTGTTCTAAAGACAGAAAGAAAATAAGTGTGTGTGTGTGTGTGTGTGTGTGTGTGCGCGCGCGCACGCGTGCGTGTGTATACTTATAGAAATTTGGAAAACATGAATATGCAAAAAATAAATTTAAATAACCCATAATCCTACCACCCAAAATTATCAACACCACTGCTGACATCTTCCTGGTCACTCGGGGTGACATTTTCACTGAGTTAAGATCATGCTTCATGCTCACTCTCTTATCTGAGTTTATATTGCTCCCGAATATAACTTTCTGTGAGTGTGTGCATGGATGTGTGTGTCCATATGATATGCATGCACACGTGTGTGGTGCCTATAGAAGCCAGCACCACAGGTGTTATTCTGCCTTACTCTATAGGTACCATTCACCCTGGGTATTTCTGTTTGCTTGTTTTGTGTTTTCAGGGGTTCTTTGTTTGTTTTTATTGTACTAGTGTGTGGATGTGTACACATGAGTTCAAGTGTCCTAGGAGACCGGAGGTGATGGATGCCTTGGAGCTGGAGTTAACAGCAGTTGTGAAGTGGGTGCTGGGACCTCTGCCATGAGTAGCGCTTGCTAGCCCGCCTCTGAGCCCCAGGGACCGCTTGTCTCCACCTTGGCAGCACTGGGATTGCAAGTCTGCACCACCACTCCCAGCTTCTTGCCTGAGTTCTGGTCTCCATGGTGGCACAGCGAACACTTTACAGATGAACCTCTCTGGCTAGCCCCAGTTTTGAGAGATAACTTTATTGTGTTGTCAGCTTCCTGGCACTGTAATAAGATACCTGAGATGATTAACTTGCAAGTAGAAAAGGTTGATTTGCTGGGGTTTGAGGTGGGGAGCGGGACAAGACTGCACTCCATGAACCGAAGGCAAAGGAGGAGGAGAGGGCTGGGGTCCACAGTCCCCTCTGAGGCTCATCCCCGTAGCCTAACCTCCACCACGCCCACCTCAGTGTTTCACCCCTCCCCGGTAGCACCACACTGGGGACCAAGCCTGTAGCCCTGTAGCACCTGGGCCTCTAGGGCCACTCAGCATCCTAGCCACAGCATTTGTAAGTGTGGTTTCTGTGGCTAACTTTCCACGGGATGGGGGTGGATGACTTTCTTCCTGACTCTGTGGTCGGGCTGCTGGATAAGGGGGGGCAGTTCTTTCTGCCCTGGTGTCCCTACCTCTTGAACCCTGAGACGGTCCTGAACCCCAGCAGGAATGGAAGGGTCTTTGTTCCTGCCCTACCCCCTTCAGCACAGTTAGCTCTGGGTTCCAGCCCAGCCTCCCACTGGAAAAGCCCCAGCAGCTGGCTGGAGGGCAGGGCCAAATGCCCAGGGCCCTTTACAGAGAAGAGGCCTGCCCTCAGCAGGGACAACTCCGAAGAGCCTCTGGGAGCTGGAGGGGACGTGTGCTTGGGGACAGGACAGCACCCAGCTAACCTGAGGGGCAGAATCGCAGGAGCATTTACAGGGCTCTGAGCATAGTATCTAAGTCACATACCTTGGGCAACCTGTTTTGCTTGCTCTGAGGCATAACATCTGGGGTTCCAGAGGATACCCCCACAATGCTCACAGAGAAACTCCTCTGACATGCTGGATCCTAGAGCACATGCATATTCACACCTTTATGCTGTCCCTAGCTGTCAGCTCACATCTACACACATGTGCACGCATGCACACAAACATGTAAACACACTACACCTGGCCGGGCGTTGGTGGCGCACACCTTTAATCCCAGCACTCGGGAGGCAGAGGCAGGTGGATCTCTGTAAGTTCGAGACCAGCCTGGACTACCAAGCGAGTTCCAGGACAGCCTCCAAAGCCACAGAGAAACCCTGTCTCGAAAAACCAAAAAAAAAAAAAAACCCACACTACACCTACCAACACACACATACACACACACACACACACACACAGGTACACATATACTCACATACATATACATGTACACATGAACACACACCCAGAGCTTTTATTTCCCTTCTATCTCTATTATATTTTCTGCTTATCCCTTCTATCTGAAGTTAATTGTAGCAGTGGCTGCAGAGATGGCCCAGCAGTTAAGAGCACTATTGCTCTTCCAGAAGTTTGGTTCCCAGCCCCCATAGTACAGCTCACAGATGCCTGGAGCTCCCGTTCCAAGGGATCTGCTGCCCCCTTCTGGCCTCTGCGGCACCAGGCACACATGTGGTATACATACATGCATAACATGTAGGCAGAATACTTGAGTAAATAAGTCGTTAACAACCTCAACTAGGTGAACCAGTGAGGGCCCACATGGTGATGGATTCAAAATCTCAGACTTGCAGTAGTTTGTCCAGATCGCTGTCACAGAACCGCAGAGGGACCTCTGCAAACAGCCATCAGGAACAGAGCCTGACCTTGGGGCCTGGCAAGGTCACACAGATCATGCCGCCCTCCTGGCAGGCCACTGTTCTCAGCAGGACGGTGGAATTAGCTCCCCGGGATCTGGTCACCCCTTAGTGGCAGCATTAGCTGGGGGCCAAGCTTTTAACATCTGAGCCTTTGGGGGATGCTTCAATCTAAACCAATTGCTGCCATACATCCGGTGGTGTCTTGACCAAAAGCAATGAGAAACTCTGGAAGTTCTGTGCCATCATGAGGAGAGGGCCCCTAATGGGTGTGAGGGGAGGAAAGGGTTTACTTCCTGGAGAGCCTTTTGGGGGTTCTCTTCCCAGGCAGCACCAGCCTTGGTGAACAAGGCTGCCTCCCTTTCCTCCTCATTGTCAAAGAGTCAAAGGAATCACACTGTGGGTGACTGTGGCCACTCTGGGCTGACCCAGCTGCTCTACTCTGGGTGGCACTGTCTCCCAGAGACTCTGCCTTATCGTTTCCCTTGCTGCCTTCTTTGGGTCCCCAAAGTCACCCCCACCCCTCTACATGATTCCTGGCACAGAGACATGGAAGCCTGCTCGTGCCCCAGGGCCGAGAGCTGCTCCTCAGCTGAGGGCATCGGAGCAGTGTCTTCCCCAAGCTTGCCTCCTTCCACATCTTCCTTCCCATCGGGTGGCAGCCTCCTGGCTTCCCCCCCCCTTATCCTGGCACAGGCTGGTCCTTGTCAGGAGATGTCAGCATGTGCCCATATTAGCAAACAAACAAGCGACTGTCTTCTTAGCTCCAGATCAGAGTCCAGGGGGCTCCTGGGAGCACAGGCTGCCACCAACGCCTGGCTGAGTCCCTGTTTTTAAAAACTATTAAAAAAAAAAAAAAGGGCCGGGCGTTGGTGGTGCACGCCTTTAATCCCAGCACTCAGGAGACAGAGACCAGCCTGGTCTACAAAGTGAGTTCCAGGACAGCCTCCAAAACAATACAGAGAAACCCTGTCTGGGGGGGGGGGGGGGCAGTCTCTGTCACCAGGTCCAGAGAGAAAGCCAACGAGAAGTGCTGAACATGTATTCATTTTATACATCTTTTCAAAAACTATTCTTAGAGCAGGCGTGGTGGCATAAACCTGAACTCCAGCATTCAGGAGGCAGAGGCAAGTGAATCTCTGTGAATTCAAAGTCAGTCTGATCTTCATAGGGAGTTCCAGGACAACCAAATGTATCCATTTGGTTTTTAAATTTTGTTTGTTTTTTAAGATTTTATTATTATGTATACAGTGTTCTGCCTGCATGTATGCCTACGTGCCAGAAGATGGCATCAGATCTCATTAAGATGGTTGTGAGCCACCATGCGGTTTCTGGGAATTGAACTGAGGTCCTCTGTAAGAGCAGTGAATGCTCATAATCTCTGAGCCATCCCTCCAGCCCCAGTTTGTTTGTTTTGATGGGTATGGGAACAAGGACCTTGGGAATGCTAGGCAGGTGCTCTGCTGCAGAGCCAAATCCCCAGGCCTTGATGTGTCCTGTCAGCTCTCTTTAAAAAGGACGTTGTGAAAGTTGTGTGTATGTGTCTGTTTGTGTACCCCATGTATACAAGTGTCTGTGGCAGCCAGGTGATTGTGAGCTGTTTCCTAAGGGTGCCTGGAACCAGGCCTGGGTCCTCTGGAAGAGCAGTAAGTGCTCATAACCACTGAGCCATCTCTCCAGCCCCTAGATTCTCCTTTGTAAAAGCTGACATCAGCAGGGCGGTGGTGGCACAAGCCTTCCATCCCAGGACTCAGGAGGCAGAGGCGGGCAGATCTCTGTGAGTTCAAGGCCAGCCTGATCTACAAGAGCTAGTTCCAGGAAAAACAAAAACAAAAACAAAAAAAGCTGTCATGAGACCTCAGACCTGTGCAGATGTCAGTCACCCCGTCTCTGCTTTAGAACTGGTTTCTGTCACTGAGTGTTTGCCCGCAGTAGCGTGTCTGACCGCCTGCCTTTAGAAGGCCAGGCCGAATGGCTCTCTTGGGTGTTTGGGTTGCGCATGGGCGTCTAGGCACCCATCCTCATGTGATTGTGCCGTAGAGCCGCGGGGCCTCCATTCTCAGGAAGGGTCTTCCGATGCCTGCTGTGCATCCAGGCTGAGGGGACAGAGATGAAGCCGCTGTCATCTTCCAAGAGTGTCCCACCTGAAAGCTCAGGGACAGCCAGGGGACCAGGGCCGGGGGGGGGGGGGCGGGTGACAGTTCTCACTGTTGGTTGTGTGGCCCCCAGCTTCCAAACGCTGGCCAAGAACCAGATGAAGGGGCGTGCGCAGTGGGCACGGCTGCGGAAGCACTCCATCTTTCTCCAGAAAGAGAACCTAAAGAAGTGACCACCCTGGGGCCCCAAAGGAATCTCCACCGCGACAGCCACCCCCCCCCCGACACTGGACGGCAAAAAGACAGTGACAAGAGCCACACTCAAAGCTTGGCACCTCCACGGAGCCAGTGGGGCCAGCGGATTTTGAGGACCCTCAAATACTAAAGCCTCATGGATGGTAGATAGATGCATCACTCAAATAAACAGACTGACCGCTGCAGTGCACCGCTAGTCATTGCGACCCAGCCCTACTCCAGCGCTCGCCCCTGCTCTAGATCCCCGTCCAGAGAGGACAGCTAGCCTAGGAGAGCCCCTTCCCGAAGTAAGACGGCCAGCTGCCAGCCTCCGTGCGCCCCTTCTCTTTCCACATACTGCACTCGAAGCTGTTCCTCACAGAAGCTCTTTGAGGGGCTGGTGTGTAGCACAGCGGGGAAGTGTGCATCTAGCCTGACCAAGACCCTGGGTTAGGCGCCCCAGAAGGAAGAAAATGAAGCAAGGCCGGAAGAGTGGAGGTGCGTGGTGGGGTAACACAGATCTGGGAGGCAGGGTCGGAGTCGGGACCTGGTGGGAGATGGACCGCTAGGGGAGACCGGGTGTCCTGGGGAACCGAGGAAGACGGAAACTGCTCTTCTCGGGAGAACTACCACACTTCCTGTTGCTCAGGGAAATGTCTGCTTCTCTGAGGACACCGTGTGGTCATGTTGAGAACTGCAGAAGGCTGCCTCCCAGCCTGGCCCTAGGCTAACCCAGGGGTCCCTTCTATGTCCTCACCGACCTGGTAGGTCTCTGCTGCCGCTTCCGTGGGCCTCCTCTCCTGCGCCACATGCTTTGCCCTGGCTGGCATTAGTATCCACCGTCCGAATGTCCCGGGATAACGCTGTGCCCGCTCCTCCCTCAGTGGAAATGAGAACTCACCACACAGGCCCCGTGTCTGTCCCTCCCTCCCCTCCCTCCCCTTCCTTCCTCCCTCTCTCCTCCCTCCCTCCCCTTCCTCCCTCCCCCTCCCTCCTACTCCTCTCTCTTCCTCTCACCTTCCCTCTTCTCTTACCATCCCTACTTCCTCCCCCTCTTCCTTCCCTTACCCTCTCTTCTCTCCTTTCCCCTTCCCTCCCTCCTGCCCTCTCCCCTCTCCTTCCCTCCCTCCCTCTCTTCCCTGACAGCACTTCCTTGAGGTGAGGAGGGCGTCCCGGAACTTGGGGCTTCAGCCTTGACCTAGCACGGGTCCCCAATGCTCAGAGCCAGGCTTCAAAGGGGGATCCGCGCTTCACACATCAGCCCTTGTGATGTCCTTGACTTACGGAGGGGAGTGCAGCCCCAGGTTACCTCCAACAGCCTGGTCAACCTTCCAACCTCCAGCAGCCTGGTGAACCTTCCAACCTCCAGCAGCCTGGTCAACCTTCCAACCTCCAGCAGCCTGGTCAACCTTCCAACCTCCAGCAGCCTGGTCAACCTTCCTACCAGCAGACACCTAGCTCCACTGTCACAAAGGGGCTTGGCCGGCTGGAGTAGTATGAATTCCCCTCGTCTCCCTCAGCCCCACTCCCTTTCAGCTGGCTCTCGGCTGGGGTGAGCACCCATGACACACACAGTACCCAGGCGCAGCCAGCATGCGTGGCGCCCAGTGCACAGAAGTGACCTGGGCAGAGTGCACACAGCTCAAGCCCCTTTTGTGTGGCTCTAGCAGAGTCCCAGGCCTGCCTCCCCCGGGCCCGAACTGGTCACATGATGATGCAGGCGACACAGGTCTGTGGAGCCTCTGCCTCTGGAGGGACAGTGGAGGTCTGCCCCCCAAACTTCAAATTGCCAAGGGGAGGGAGAGCTGAGTGAGGAAAGGTAAGTGGAGGGTATCTTGATCAGAGTGTCCTGGCATCTATGACTACTCTGTCATGTCTGCCGGTGACACAGGCTCTCTTTATTCCTGTGTGTGCAAGGAATAGGAAACCTGAAATTCCTAGGACTTAGGTGTGGCATCCATAATGAGGACCAGCAAGAAGGAGCCAGACCTGGCAGAACCCTCTCCAGGCCATGAGGGCTCCACTGAGGAGGAAGCCAGTGGTTCCAAGGGAGGCTCTTCCCTGAGGTGACAGAGTCCCCTCTCAGTGTGGGGACTTCACCAGAGGGAAGGTGTCCATAAAGTCATCAGGCCTGGCCCCAGACAAACAGGGCTTTATGGTTAAATGAGGTTAACCCTTAACTCTCCAGTTCTCTGGGTTTCACAAGCCTGCTGCCCCCTCGCCCACGTGGATAGGCTTTATTCACCGTGTGTGGCCAGAAAACCCGTGATCTTGCCATGTGCAGCTAGCCTGAACTTGGCCACTTTCTCTGAGGACCCCATCCATTTCTCTTCTGTCTGATGCTAAGCCACCCCTCCAGCCTGCTCAGGGACCACCATCACCTGCTGATGAGGACACTGTTGGACGCCACCCCTCGTCCTCTGCCCTGCCTTCAGATGGCACCTCTCATGTCATTAGCTTGGATACTAATTTTTATTCTTCCTGTGTAAGGTTTTTAACCTGCTTGTGTGTCAATGCACCACAAGCATGCCTGGTACCAGCAGAGGCCAGCAGAGGGTGTCAGATTCTAGTTATAGACTGTGATTGAGGTGACAGTTGTGAGCTCCCATGTGGGTACTGGGAATCGAACCCAAGTTCTCTGAAAGAGCAACCAGTGCTCTTAACCACTGAGCCATCTCTCCTGGCTTTGCTGCTGTTCCTTAAAACACTGGCTTATCAGCACAGGCTTATCAGCTGTCCATAGTGCTGGCCAGGATGCCCTAGGAGCTTATATTATGTGGCCCATTTGTGACGCACTAGTGTGCCACTGGTCTGTGGGTCAGCTATGCGGTTGTCCAGCCCCCAGCACCCCCATGGCAGGCAACGTCTCTCGTTTCTTTGTGCTTCTGCCTCCTGACCTGTACCTGACAGGCGGCAGCAGGCACCACTCTTCTCACGGGCTCTGCAGCTCAGGGACTTGATACGGTGTAGTCTGGATCCGTGGGCACTCAGCCGGACCAGCTGCAGTCGCTGGTCCTCTGCCTGCCATGCAGGTTCTGCCAACCAGGTCAGATGGAGAAAACGCCTCCCCCACGGGAAAAAGGGCAGCCGGGGCCAGCAGGGTTCGGAGTGGACAGTCCTGGGCCTGGAGCCTGTTTGCTTGTGCTCAGGCCCAGCTTCCCGGCCTTGACCCCTCCAGACTCTGCAAAGGAAGGAGTTGAGGTGGCGTCTAGCACCCAAGCAAGCTCCACCAGGGCAGACAGCTGGCATCTGCAGGGCCTGTGATCTTTCCTTTAGGCTGGCCCTGTAATTGGGATATGTCTGAGGTTGCCTGAGAACCGGGGTGACAGGCTTGGGGGTGCCCTCTGGGTCAGGGCTACTGTTGTCCTCCCTGGGAGTCTGCTCCAGATGCTGATTGGGCCAGGAAGGGGGGATGGGGCCTGGGGGCAGTGTGAGGTGACCCTTTTCTATGGACAGTCCTGTGTCCCAGCCACTATTAGCAGGGACCTGTTAATGAAAATTCACACCCAGGTGCTAATAAACAGTGGGCTGCTCCCAGGCCCTCAGAGAAGAGGCCCTGTGCAGGGAAAGGGGTTGGTCAATGAGCTCCACTTAGCTGTGAAAAGACTTGCTAATAACCTTAATTCCCCATCCTAAAACACTGGGCCTTTACTTTGCAAATAGATTTTCCACACTGGGTTGGCTCCAGGCCAGGAAGACTTCTTCCTGTCCTGAACCAGTTAAGGTACTGGGAGGAGAGTGTCAACCGGAGTTAGAAGTATTGGAAAAGGGAGTGACCAGTGAAGGTGCGAGATCCCCCACCCCCTGGTAATCTCCTCTGGGCCACTCTCTCTGCAGCCAAACACCAGCTTTGTATAAACTACTCAGGCTTGGACCCTAGAGCTTCAGAACAGAACCCCCCACCCCAGCATGACCTCCCCTCCTGGCCTGAGCCAGAGTTCTGGAAAAGATCCCCCAGGTGATTTGAAACAAACTTCCACAACAGAAGAATGGATAATTGGATAATTGTAAAGGAGCCTGTGAAGGATGCTGTACTGAGTAATAAGGAATGGAGCTTACCAACATGCCTTGAAAACATACTCAGAAAAAAGCCACACACACACACACACACACACACACACACACACACACACACACACACACACTGTATGTTTCTTCCTGCTTGTTTGGCTTTGTTTTTTAAGACAGTCTCTCAAGCCTTGGATGGTCTGGAACTCACTCTGTAGACCAGACTTGCCTTAAACTCAGAGACCTGCCTGCCTCTGCCTTCCAAGTGCTGGCATTAAAGGCGTGTACCCAGCCTGTATATTGCTTTTTTTTTAAATGAAATATTACAACAGATAAATGTCATTAGAGGTAAGAAGTATTAGTGCAGGGGCTGGCTAATGCGTAATGAGTGGAGCTAATGGGTGGAGGGGCTAATGGGTAAATGCTGCTTCTTTCTTAGTCTTCTTTGAGACTGTGTTACCCTGGCTGGCCTTGAACTCTAGATATCTGCCTGCCTTTGCCTCCCGAGTGCTGGATCAAAGGCATGCACCATCGCATCTGGCCAGTAGCTTCTTTTTGGAGGTGATAAAAAGATACTCTAAAATTAGTGAGAACAGTTGCATAACTCTATGGACATGCCCAAACCCTCTTTAAAGCCTCTTGTGGTGGCTCACATCTGTCACCACAGCACTGAGGTCAGAGCAGGAGGGGCGGGAGTTGGAGGCCACCCTGGGCTGAATGACTGTCTCAAAAACAAAACAAAGACACAAAATCTGACTTTTGTGCTATGTCTCAATAAAATGCATATTTTAAAAACTGCAGAGGCCCAAATCCCGGACAGATGAGGGGGAGAGAGAGCTCTTGCCCCTGAGGGTGAGCGCTTGGTAGAAACTAAGTCAAGTGCCCCCACGGGAATGCAACCCCCTCCCCGTGGGCTGATGCCGGTCTCTCTCCTAATGGGCTCCAGGTGCCTCCCTTCTCCGCTGCTTATTCCCGATCGGAATTTCACCAGCACAGGTCAGCAATCAGCAAGACCTCCAAGGAAAACTTCCCTACCAATGGTATTTCTATCTCCGGGCCACGTGGGAGGGAAGTCCTAGCACGGGGACAATGTCCCGTGCAGCCCCGCTGCCCAGAATGAAGAGACACGCGCTCTCCTCCCGTGGCTGAGCGCTCCAATGCCCGCGTCCTACATGGCCCGAGTCTTGACCTTTAAAGGTAAGAAGACACAAGGCACCGATGGAGTTGGATTTCTTACAGTGTTCTGGTTTTATCCAGTTTCTCCCTAAGTTCAAAAGAGGTGAACTACTTCCTGCCACCTGAGAGCAGCCAGCCCACTCCCCTCCCCTCCACCCCTTGCAGACTGACCCACAGAGAGATGTCGAGAATGGAGGGAGGGGCGACGGCGCGGGACCCACAAACACCAACGACACCAGCACAAACGGTTTATTCACAAATAAATAAATACACACCACGCAGAGTATTGTGCCTGCTTGAGTTTTAGAGAGTTCACCCTACGGGTCCCTCCTCCCAAGCAGGGCATGCCCACGTTGGTGTCGCCGGCGCCTCTCCCAGGAAATACTCGCTTCGAGGGTGCGGAGGGAGGCAAAAGGAAAAGTCTCTATGCTCAGACAGGGTGCCAGTCATCACTGTCCCTTCAAGCTGGCGGCCACTCCTGCGGCGTCCAGGTTTCCAGCAGAGCCAGCACGTCGCTGCTGAAGAGCTGCAGAAAGAGTGAACAGCGCTCACGTCAACACCGGCCCCAGTGCCCGGGCCGCGCGCGCGCGCTCCTCTGCTCCACGCTCCAGGTTCCTCGGCGAGCGAGCAAAGCAACTTTAATCCCTGCGGCCCCCCACCTCCCACCGCGTCTGGGCACCCAGGGAGCGCGGGGATGCTCGCTAGGGAGATCAGATGGGGTCAGCCGCGACGGTCCGCACCGTGGTGCTGTGCGTCGCCGCCCCGACAGCAGGGGGCGCCACCCATACTAACCGGAGAAGAGGGGCTGGGTTCCAGCTCCTGCCTTTCCAAGGACGTCGCCTCTGTCTCGGCGTACGGGAACGATGGGTCCCAGTGCTCTGCGACGACTCGGGGTTCAGGGCACGCGGGCGGGGACCCCCACGACACCCCGCTGCAGGCGGCCGGCCTCAGAGGCAGGCCGAGCGACTGCGCCTGCGCCGGGCCGCCGTCCGGGCACAGCGGGCAGGCACGAGGTGACGCCGCGCCTGCGCGCCGCTGTCGCCGCAGACTGTCCTCGCTGAGGCCCAGCACGGCCGACAGGTGTCCGATGTAGCGGATGGCCAGGCGCAGCGTCTCGATCTTGGTCAGGCTCTGGCCGGCGGGCGCCACGGACGGCGGCAGGAAGCGGCGCAGCTCGTGCAGCGCGCGGGCGAGCGTGCGCATGCGCAGCTTCTCGCGCTCGCTGGCGCTCTGCCGCTGCCCGCTGCCCAGGCGGCTGCCGGGAGACCCTCGCTTTCCCGGGGCCCCAGCGCGCCGGGCCGGGCGGGCATAGGACGGCGCGGGGCTGCGGGCCCGGGCACCGTCCCACGGGTCCGAGGGCCAGGCCGGGGAGCAGACGCTGTCCCCGTCGGAAGGCGTCAGCGGGGGCCGACGAGCGGGACCCGGGATCCAGGGCTGAGCGAGCGGTGCGCACAGGGGCTGGGCCATGGCAGCGGATGCCTGTCCATTGGGCCCGCCGCAGCTTTATCCCGGCCCAAGGTGTGAAGTGGCCCCTTCCAGAACTCCGCACATCAAAGCCGGCTCGGGCCGGAGTGGGGGCAGGGCCTGACCCTTTGAACCAAGAGCAGGGGCTCTAAGGTGCAGGACCTTGGTTCAGTCTACCCTACCTGGGCCATATTTGGGGCCTCACAAAGACAGGCACCTATCACTTGGGGTGCCCGGGGCATTGAACCAGCCCTGCAAGTTGAAAGAACCATGCTCAGAACTGAAGTCCAGCTCCTAGGTTTAGGGTATGTCTTAATATGTTAGGGACCCTTCCCAATTTTCTCCATCACTCTAATTTGCAATGAGATTCCTGGACTGCATTGGCCGACTGGGCACTAGGATAGGAACCTCTAGACATGGAGAGAACTGCAGCCCACTCCTCCTCAGCTTGGTGGTGGCCTGTAGCCTCTCCTTGATGTCCAGGCCGTGAGTGGCACAGTGAAGAAGCTACCTCACTATCGAGGTTGCTGGAGTGTCTTGAGCAGGGGCAACAGGTGAGCCTGCTGCCCTCCACCACAAGTCTTTCCTGGTCTTGGCAAGATGGCCCGTTTTCCCAGTCTCCTGTATGTAGCCCCGGCTAACTAACCTGAGCTACATGAGGTCCTGTCTCAAAATAAATAAATAAATAAATAAATAAATAAATAAATAAAGCGAAAACCTTACCCCACTATTTCATAGGATGCTGCCTGTTGGGGTCTTATAGATGCCTCTTATTTTCTAAGATTTATTTTTATTATATATATGCACCCATCTGTTCCGGTGCCCACAGAGACCTGAGGTGTCACATTCTTCAGGACCTGGAGTTACAAGCAATTGTGAGCTGCCTTGGGTGGCCTCTGGGTTCTGAGCCTTGGTTCCCCATCAAGAGCAACATGTGGTCTTAGCTGCTGAGCTATCTCTCTAGTGCCCGCCCCTTGAAACAGGGTCTCACGTAGCCCAGGCTAGCCTTGAACTCTGATCCTCCTGCCTCATCTGAGTGCTGGAACTGCAGTTGTGAGCTTGCCGTGCCTGGGTCCTGGGGATGTCTGCTCTTAGCACACCTGTTTATTGTAATGGATGGAGGGTCTTGGTTAGAAAATAAAAATAAATACAAGTTGAAGAGAAGTAAAAAATCGTCCCTACTTACACACAGCATGCGTACTCACGGTCCCAAGAAGTTGGGTATGTGACACACGCCTGGAATTCCAGCACTTGAGAAATGAGGAGCATCGGGAGTTAGGGCCAGCCTTGCCTACAAAGTGCATCTGAGGCTATCCTGAGCTACATGACTGTCTCAAACCTATTAGAGGGTAAGGGGTGTGGCTCAGTTGGTAGAGCCTAGCCTTCAGGAAGCCCTGGAAAGGCACTGGCTTATTAACTTCAGCAGATACAAGGCTCAGTAGCTAAGAGTACTGGCTACCCAGCAGGGCAGTGGAGGCACACACCTTTAACCCCAGCACTTGGAAGGCAGAGTTAGGTGGCTCTCTGTAGTTCCAGGACAACCAGGGCTACACAGAGGAACCCTCTCACAAACAAATGAATAGTACTGGCTGTTCTTCTGGAAGACCCAGGTTTGATTCCCAGCACCCACATGGTGTCTGTAACTGCAGTTCCAGGGGACTGCTCTCTTCTGGCCTCTGTACACTACACGTGTGTGTAGCACCCAAAAACACATGCAGGCTCTCACGTGTACAGAAAACTGAAAAATATTCTCAACTACATGGTGAGTTTGAGGCATGTCTCAAACCAAGGCCCTGAGCCTGATGGGCAGGTCTGGGATCAGCTGTCTGAGGGCTAAGCTAGGATAACCACAAAGCCCTGTAAGGCTGCAGAGCAAGTTCAAGCCAGCACGGACAACTTAGTGACTCTGTCTCAAAATAAAAATAGGGCTGGTAGGGTACTTGCTTAGCACGCATTAGCCAAAGTGTATGAGTTGCCTGCTGAGCTCCTCAGGCATGAGTGAGTTTATGCCGTTGACCTAGTGCATAGTTTATGGCTACCGTCTCTCCTCCAGCCAGGCCACCAAGTACCTGGTGTCTGGCATCACATCTGTATCCCTTCTTCAGAGGAATGGCACCTCAGGTCTTCCAGGGGTCCCATATGTCTTCTAGATGGATGATGGTTTGTAGCAGTGAAGGCCCCATGGATTGGTACCCGATTCTCTGTTGTAGCAGTGAAGGCCCCGTGGATTGGTACCTGATTCTCTGGGCATCTCTGCCGACTCCCATCCCTTTGCCTCCTCAAACAGGTCTCAGGCCTTCCCTCTGCCTTCTGCTGGAAGGTGCATGCCCGCAGTCACACCCCAGGGAGCGAAAATCATCTCCACTAGGGAGTGGGGAAGTGGAGCCAGGCTGTGAACTTGTCCATGGTCTGTCCCAGAAGGCCCCGTCTCTGCCTGCTCTGTCCACAGATTGCCTTCCTGGGGCCTCCGATCAGGACAAGAACCTCGAGCTCCAGGATTGCGCCTCTTGGTTGACACCAGAGCAAGCAGTTGGGGATGTGCTATACGCTGGGGCAGGGTGGAGTGTGCACAGTAGTCCCCCCAAGCAGGAGGGGTGAGAACACCTGAGTGTCCCAAACACCAGTTCCTGTGTGGTCGTGATTTTATAGAATAGGCAAAAATTGAGAAAACTCACTAAAACACCTTGTGTCTTAGTTCGAAACTACAGTAGATGCACATGGTTTAAAATGAAAAGGTATCCAGATCCAGAGCACAGCCAATCCCCTGACAGCTTCTGAGAGCACAGCCAATCCCCTGACAGCTTCTGAGAGCACAGCCAATCCCCTGACAGCCTGCTTCTGAGAGCACAGCCAATCCCCTGACAGCCTGCTTCTGAGAGCACAGCCAATCCCCTGACAGCTTCTGAGAGCACAGCCAATCCCCTGACAGCCTGCTTCTGAGAGCACAGCCAATCCCCTGACAGCCTGCTTCTGAGAGCACAGCCAATCCCCTGACAGCCTGCTTCTGAGAGCACAGCCAATCCCCTGACAGCCTGCTTCTGAGAGCACAGCCAATCCTCTGATGAGCCTGCTTCTGAGAAGCCTCTACCTGACTTGCTCCAGACCAGACTGGCATTGCTTCCTGTTAACAGTCTTTGAAGTGAAGTCTATTTTATTAGTACAAAGCTAGTCAGACACATTTGAACAGGAGTGGGGGACGCCACACTTTGTTGAAGATGCCGCACTTAACAAGTCTCAGATCTGAAACCTAACCGTTAACATTGAGCCCACAGAGGGATCCGGGACAGGCACGGGACTCGGTGAGTGGAGCAGGACGAGGTGGCGGTGAAGCAGACACAAGGATGTCACAAGAGACGGGCAGGATGGCAGGTCCTGTCTCAGCCCCATCCCCAAGTCTTGAGTCCTAACTCGCTGAAGTGACACGTGGATCCCCTCTCCCCTGTCCCCCTGTGGTCCCCGTGCTCTCTGGGAAACAACCTCAGGGGCCCAGCTGGTGAAGGGCAGTCAGAGCCTCCTGCCCCCTCCCTTTGATCTCCTTATCTGGCCACTGTCTTCAGTGGGCTCCTTGAGAGCTGCTTGGAGTTAATGAGTTCTCCAGGCCGTGCTGGCCCAAGCAGCCTCCCCGCTGGGCCAAGGCCTTCACACTTTGGGGCCTGTGTTTTGACAAGTGCCAGAGCCAGGGGCTTCTGCTCCCCCGCCCGAGCCTCCCCTGGTTGCCAATGTGTAAAGCTGGGAAAAGAGGCCTTGCCACCACCCCACCAAAACGGAGGTGAAAGTTCAAGCCTCAGACAGGCAGGGGGCAGGCAGGGTGGGGAGGGGGTGCTCTCAGGCTCAGGGTCCAACCTCAGCCTCCACGCTGGAGCCTGGGCTCCACACTCCCACCCGCTCTGCATCGAGAGCCCTCATTTCCCGGCCAGCCCTCTGACACAGGCCCTCTGACACAGCCCCTCTGACACAGGCCCTCTGACACAGCCCCTCTGACACAGGCCCTCTGACACAGCCCCTCTGACACAGCCCCTCTGACACAGGCCCTCTGACACAGCCCCCCTGACACAGGCCCTCTGACACAGCCCCTCTGACACAGCCCCCCTGACACAGGCCCTCTGACACAGCCCCTCTGACACAGGTGCTGTGCAAAACTGCCTTGCACCCCTAGTCTCCGGGGACCCTCAGATTCCCAGCAGGCCTCGCTTTACATCTCAGAGCCCCAGGCAGGACCACATGGGCCAGAAGTTTTGCAGGATGGTGACAGAGAATCCAGGAAAAGTAAGCCTCAGGTCCATAAGAGGGCTCACTAGGTACAGCTGCTTGTTTCCAAGTCAGGCAGCTGGGAGTCCAATCCCCAATCCTCAGGACCCACACGCTGTCCTTGACTGCCACCGGTACACCTACAAGTGTGTGTGTGTGTGTGTGTGTGTGTGTGTGTGTGTGTACAAACACCCCGTACATACAATAATGATAAATATTTTTAAAATCTCTTCAAAATAACGAAAGTACCTCCCCCAATTCAGACACAGGAGAGGCCCCAGAGAGTGGCCAGCTGCTCCCCTCCCTGGGACCTTCCCTCCTTGGGTCACAGATAGATGAGTCAGGATACATCTACTTAGAAGGCCCAGCAGCATCCCCCCCCTTCCCCATGGACCACCTCACAAGCTTGCCTGATAAGGCTCCTGAAGTTCCTGAGGCTCCCAAGGGAGTCCTGCCAACCAGACCCCCACCCGCCTCTCCTCACACCTTCCGCTCTTGGAGCCACTGAGCTGGCACACCATATGGAATAGATTATTCTGGACCTAGGGTAATCTGATTATCTGGTCATGGGCCAGCTGGGATGCTCAGCCAGTGGCAGCCACAGGCAGCAGAGGGTGATGAGGAGGGAGGGGGTGGGAAAAGGGGGAAGAGATTTGGCAGCCACCCCTCCCCACCCCCGGAAAAGCTCAAGAGGAAATGCCAGAAGCCCCGTGGGTCTGAGGATGGTTGATAAAACTGAGGGAGCAAGGACCACCTCTCTCTTCAGGGGT